ATTACAGGTAGGAACCAACATGACGTATTTTAAATTGTACAGTACTGTTTTCAATGCTAACCTTACCAATGATTACAGTGCATGGTATGTATTGCAACAATCGATAAACGTAAAGACGGTAAATCATGATTTTGATTGTATTGATATCGGGGCTCTTCATAAAAAACAAACAAATTGTTAACTTGTGTGTACACATGTTTATTACAATAATCACAGTAAGTATCCCTGCAAAATTAAAAAAGTCGACATTATTACCCTGTTTGATTTGGCTGATTTATCTTTTTCGTTTTAATGAGTATGGTATTTCTGTCCGTGTTATAATGGACCCGTTATAATGACATTCGCGTGCAAGTGCATTATGGCGTGACTCTAAGAGTAAAATTTGCATTTGTTTTTGAAGTCAATTGTTTTTTGATTTTTTCACTGCACGTTTATCAAAGGGAAGTTTACTCCAAAAATAGTAATGCTAAACAATTAATGTGCAACACTCCTAAAACTATCTCTATAATAAAAAACCCGTCCTTTGAAGTCTTCCCCGAACGTTATGAGGATGATCCGGCTGTTGTTTACGAAATACGAACACAAATATTATGTTTATTACTAATAGGCCTATAGGTTTTTTTTTTTTTTTATTCTATATAGTGTGTTCCAAAATTCAAGAGTATTATATATAGAAATATTGTGTACTCTAAGTGTTGTGACACACTCAGAGGACGACAAAGTAGTAACTCCCGAGAGTGTAATATCTACTTTTACGGTCTCTTGTCCGAACTGTCACACATCGTTTGATTTATCATCGTTCGATCTTCATGCTGATGAAGGTTAAAGATTCAATCGAAAACTCAGTGAGGAAAGCGTTGTATTGTGTTGAAAACAAAAGTTTAAACGTCTTCCATTGTTTTACCTACACAAATGAATTGTTTTAGTTTGTTTTCTAAACATTAATTATTTTTCATTTCATATAAAGAGATTTTGGAAATCACTTATGAATTATGAAAAGTGTAGGATGTGGCACCGAGACTCTGACGATTAGTGCCCAAAATTGTTTACAGAAACGTAATGCAATAATAGCATATTGACTACTATTGCATATTTTCGGAAAATATTTCAGCCGCTCCAAATCTCTTTCCTGTTCTTCCTTCTTCCTTTATTCTTTCACAATTTTGCGTTTTATTCATATTTTTCATAATTTACTAGGCTAGGACTCGGCTATGACTATTACTATATTATATAAATATACAATTTTAATAGATAAGATTAATTTAACATGGACATAGTAATTCATAATTAAACAATACATTAAATTTAAATATAAATATAATTACTTTAACGAATAAATAACAATAATTAAAACGTGCACATAGTATCACTACTACAATAATAAAATTATTATTTTCCAATCTTATAATAAATTTTATATAGCCGGAGTTTGTTTTGACCTAAGCTACTATGGCTAACGACAGGTACGCTTTCTCCAATATAAAGGCTTTTTCTATGAATGGAATGACCTGTACGAAACACGAACTCCTGTAGACCAAATCCAGTACCGTTACGATTTTAATCGATGCAGGCCATCCATTTCATCATGATATGAAATATTGTAAACGAGATTGTGTTTTTATATTATATATAATGTTGTGACTTTATCACAAATAGAAAAAAAAAAACATTTTAGAGAGAAATAAATTACATAATTTTTACTGATTTATTTATATAAGGGGTTTTTAATCATGGTATTGTTTTATTGTATTGTTTCCTATATTTTCTATTATGGGTCACAATGAGCAATGGCTGGATCTCAGTAGAGATACAAAAATGATAAGCAACAGCTAAAAAGTAAACGTAAGTAAACAGCCAGAAATAGAACCAGAGCTTTCGGACAACACTAGTCCTTCCTTAGTGGCGAGTGAGTGAGGGTAGGAAAAGCTAGATGGCATAAAGTGAGAATTTCATGCAAGCATGACTGGAAACAATAGGCTGGGTGAGATTAGAATAAACAGACTAAACAAGTAAACAAGAAGGCCAAAACTAAACTTTAGAGGTAAGCCTCAATAAATAAGCCAAATGATTTATCCAGAAGAATTTGGAATGCCATAGGTTCAAAAACATCATCTAATAAAGTGTTGTACTCTGAATTTTAGAATCAGACATTATTTCTAATTTCTTCAGTTTACAGTATAATCAATCACAGTTGTAAAATACAGATGAGAACAGACCCAGTACATAGCGACAGCCACGCCCTAGGCCAACATTCCTGAGTGTAATTCGCGAACGCCGGTGGACCTAACTATAGACCGACTGCTAAAGAAAGGCTCATCAATACTTACTTACTTCAGCTCCCAGGTAGGCTTACGCCTGTCAGTGGAGCTAGCCTCTTTCTCCATTTCCTTCTGTCCAATAGTTCTCCACTTCTTCTACCGTTGGCGGAAACGGATGGCAGAAGTTCGTTCGGAGGGAGACGTACAGACGGCTGCTGCTGACGACGGCGAAGAAGAGATACGCCTACCTGCGAGAGGACCGTACAGTCGGCACGGTCGGCATGCTGAACGTCATGGACGACGCGGAACCTCTATTTTCCAAGCTGGACCGGAAGTTGGTGGAGATCACGCTGACGCACGACGATCCTGCGTCGGCTTTGGAGGCCTGCGCCGGTGCCGTCGTCGAACTCGCGGACGGTCTGAAAAGGACGAAGACGATTTCGTTATCGAGCGTTTGCCGACTGTCGAAGAAGGAAACGAACGCTCCCAAGTTCAGGAGAGCGTGCGCCGCGCTCGATCTGTTCCGGCCGGCGCCGTACTACGTCAGGCACGAGGGAGCTTCGCAGCACCCTTTGTTTGCGGCGTGTCGCAACGACTTCGTCGACGCGACCGGCCTGCTGGATGCCATCCGAAAGAGGTGCCCGTCGAAACTGGGCAACGACAGCGTCCTCGGTCTCGTCGCCTCCGCATGCGGTCGTGGCGCCTCCGATCGAAGAGGAACGAGCGACGAGAAGGGACGAGCTGGTCTTCCACAGCAAGGACCTGGGAGGTGGGCGAACGAAGTTGTTCGTTCTTCGCTGAGGCGATCCCCTGTGCGCACGGGCTCGCGACTTTTGCGTCGGCGCCCGTAAAAATTTGAACGAATGTTGAATAATATAACTCTAAAAACCTGAATTTTCGCAAGGAGATGGCAGTAACGAGACGGAAGCTGTGGCGTATATTATAGAAGATTTTCAACGAATAAGATATAGTGTTCAGTCGAATGCATCCTGTGCAGACGTCGATAAAATTAAAAGTTGCAAAGAAAGAGCTGGTCTTCCACAGCAAGGACCTAATAGGTGGGCGAACGAAGTTGTTCGTTCTTCGCTGAGGCGATCCCCTGTGCTCACGGGCTCGCGACTTTTGCGTCGGCGCCCGTAAAAATTTGAACGAATGTGGAATAATATAACTCTAAAAACCTGAATTTTCGCAAGGAGATGGCAGTAACGAGACGGAAGCTGTGGCGTATTATTATAGAAGATTTTCAACGAATAAGATATAGTGTTCAGTCGAATGCATCCTGTGCAGACGTCGATAAAATTAAAAGTTGCAAAGAAAAATAGCCCCTAGAATGAGCAAGTGGGACGAGATTTCCGAAGGTTTCTTCGTGATGCGTGGTTTTCTGGCGAAAGGATTTCATCGATTCACGATAGGTAACACCGGACAGCACGTTCGTTTTTACTGTGTCATCGGGAACAAAGGAAATAATTATATTTCACCAAAGTCCAATGTTCGAACAACAGAAGAACATCTTCCATTCGGACGGAACTGAGTCCGTTGCAGTTGCAACCAAAGATTCGAAATGTTTTTTCACATATACCTACGAATGGTACGACGAAATGCCTTCTGTGAAGTTGCTGTGCAAGCAAACGATCGTCTCAAACGAGTGCATCACGAAGCATTACCCAGGTTACTTAGAACGTACGTACAACAGGAGGATAGACCGACCGTCTTTCTGTGGATAAACAAATACGAATATTATGTCATTTCGTCTTAGGTTTTGACATTAAGTACGATGTACGTTATTCGGTTCACAGGAACTTTCATTATTATTGATTACGTGGGTTGAGTGTTGATTAGGCGAAATAAAAGAAAAGAAAAACAAACAAATTATTTGTCAATCTTCGTTTATTTCAATTTTAAAATCAAAAATGCATTTGCGCCTGTTCGCATGTTGCGATGATATTATGTTATTTAAAAAAAATTAATAGAACACAAACACCTTTCTCAGAAACCGCAGCTAATATATGGAATGAGTGTAAGGAGATGGTCCGTAAGGAGATGGAAGCGGTGGCATATACTATAGAGGATTTTTGAAAGAATAAGATCTAATGTTCGGTCGAATACATCCGGTGCAGACGTCGATGAAAAGAAAAGTTGCGAAGAAAAATAGCAAAGAGAATGCACGAGTGGGACGAGATTTCCGAAGGTTTCTTCGTGATGCGTGGTTTTCTCGCGAAGGGATTTCATCGATTCACGATAGGAAACAACCAGGACGTTCGATTTTACGGTGTTATCGGGGGCGAAGGAATAATAATAAAAAATCCAACGTTCGGTCGACTGAAGAATCGTACCTCACGACGGAAGTGAGGGAAACAAAAGCATTGTGGTTGCAACCGAAGGTTCGGAGTTTTATGTCACATATTCCTACGAATGGTACGACGAAATTCCTTCCCTGAAGTTGCTGTGCAAGCGAACGATCGTCTCAAACGACGTGCGTCACGAGGCATTGCCCAGCAGGTGGATAGTCCGACCGTCGTACTGTTGATGAACAAATGCTCATAATAATATACTTCTCTGCGTAGTAGGTTTCGACATTAAGTACGATGTACGTTATTCGGTTCACAGGAACTTTCATTATGAATAATGCGGGTTGAGTTGATTAGACGAAATAAAAGAAAAGCAAAACAAACAATTTATGTGTCAATCTTCGCTTATTTCAATTTTAAAATCAACAATGCATTTGCGCCTTTTCGCATGTTCCTAACTCTATCAGAAACGGATTATAAAAATACACAGGTATGTAAAAACGCACGATTTTTTTAACCGTACCAACAAAGTAACTTTAAAGATCAACCAAACAATGCCTATAGTTTTAACTATACAAAGTGTCCACCCGACTGCCGCGAGTGCGACGAGACTGATGTGATCCGTCGACGGTGAGTCCAGATAGGCGTTCTTCGCCTGCACGTTCGGCAAGTGCTCCGACCGCCTTGGGTCCAACTCGAAGTCGGCGTTCGTCGCCTGCACATTATGCACGTGCTCCGACGGTCTTGGTTCCAACTCGACGTCCGCGTTCGTCTTTTCCACTGTCTGCACGTGCTCCGACTGTCTTTGGTCCAACTCGTCGCCGGCGATCGTCGACATCAAACTGCAATGAGGATCTTGCTTGGGGCTGCGATCGTTCAGGAGTCGGCAATGCCGTTGAAGAGGGATCTCGTAAAGGCGATCGGTAGAGGTTACGTAAAAAAAGTTCCCGTGCAACCCGGCGTTCGTGATCGGTTGCTCCGTCGCGCGCATGACGTACAGAAGGACGGCCCGATTTTCCGACAGCACCAATTTCAAGACTCGGCCATCGTCCGTTCCGACGAAAACGACCGTACGGTTACCGGTCAACGTCTTCAACCTGTAGTTTTGTCGAACGAGCGTAAAAAGCGGGTACCCACTTCCGACCGGTTCGTACAGCAACGGGTGGGATTTCACGAAGTTTAGATCTTCGTACGACAGTAGAGTCGAGTCGACCGAACAATCGCCCGGTCTGTTGTCCGGATCGTCCTCGTCCTGGATGCGTCTCCAAGGCGCCGTCGGTCGCAAGAACGGACCTCTTTCGAAGTTTTCCCTTTTGCCGTCGATGCCGAAACTGCAGATGGCCGAGGCGAATATTACGTGTTCGCCCGTCGTGAAAACGGCGTAGTAGAAGACCTTTCCTCCGCGGACGATCCGCACGACGTCCTGCAGGTAGTTGAAGCGGAACAGAAATTCTCCTCGGAACGAACAGTCGAGTCGCGCTTTCAGAAAAGTCGTCCAGCTGGAGTCCAGTATCGTTCTGCCTCCCTTGTCGTCGGTGCAAACGCGGGCGATTCGCGAACGGTAAATATTCTCGCAGTTTTCTACGGAAACTCAGAAGAAGAAAAACACTTCTCTTCCCTCTAGAATCGAACCGACGAATTTCGGGTGATTCAGCCATAACGAATCATGCCTCTTGGTTATGAGAGGAACGGCGTTGCCCATCGACCTCGTCAGTGCGGAACCCCTGCCGTTGGTCGAAGGCGAACGGACACTTGTACAGACAGTCCGTCGCGTTCCTTCTCCTCCAGCCACTCTCTAAGTTCAATATCTCTGCATGAATGCACGTCGGTTTCTGAGCGTTCGTTCCACAAAGCAGCACTCGACCGTTTGTTAAATCAGGAGTAACGATTTTCACGTAGTTCTGGCAGTCGTCTTCTTCCTTCCCTTTCAATCTGCACTTCTTCTTGGCGACCGAGTCCGGCGTCCAGTCTAACTTCGTAGCCGTCGAGGAATCTAGAGTTCGATCGAGATCGAACACGAACGCCGAGTTGTTCGCGCCCACGAACTGGGTTCTCCACTCCTTCACCCACGCGCATTTCGACGATGGTCGAGATGCCGACGCTCGTTGCGAAAGAGGCGTCGATTTCGTTCGTCGAAGGCGATTGATCTTCGGTCGGCATAGGATACGCAACCGAAACTAACATCACTATCAGGGCGAAGAACAGCATACCGATTGTATTCTACTTTCTGCGTCTCGCGTTCATATGTTGATTTCGAAGACAGTTGTTTCCTTTTAAACAGCAGAGTATAAAACAAGAAGAGTAATTCGGGTCGCATTGTTCGTTCGCGACGAACCATGGCGTTGACGTTCAACATCAAACTCGGAGAAGGACGCGGGACGTACAGGGCGAAAAATGGATTGAGACGTTGGACGGTCATGTCCGGCTTCGTACAAGGTTTCGCGGACTTTAGACTCTGATGAGGCGACGACGTCTATCGTTCCGGCGGCCAGATATTGTTGGATCTGTCCTCCGTTGCGACGTGTTCGCGCTTGATCGCAACGACCGTGAGGTTGTTGCGGTTTCTGGACGAAGACTGCAAGTCGGAAGAAGACTTGGGCAACCTGACCGCGTACGTGTTCCGTCACCGCATACCTGCTGCTGAACGAAGATGTCAAAGATGCGTTGCTGGAACGGACCAAACACAATCTGCTGGTGTGCACGAAGAACTTCTACATCGAGGAGATCAACGATTTCGCGTCCAATCTTACGACGTGCATGGACCGATTTATGGCGAACGATCGTCGACGCCTGGATCTTCTCGGCTGTTGCGAACGTTCGTCTTCGGCGGTCGAGTGACGGAGGCGCTGAACGCCGTCGCCAGGAGCGGCTTCAAGCGACCGGTGGTGCAGGTGCGGATGAGCTTCAGAAACGTCGTCGCTTCTCTCGGCGCCACCTCACTGTTCCATCTTCGATGGACCAAAGGTCGAGGACGCGATTGCCAACTTCTGTGGTGGGGCATCTTGAACGCCGACGAGACCGAGAATCGACTATACCTGATTTTGACGTTCAACCAGGAAAAGTGGTGCAATTCGGTTCTGACCGACAAGCGGACGGTGCACGCCCTGTACGAACTCGCACCTAGGTGGCCGAAGTTGCTGAAGTGGACGACAGTGTGCGACGACGTATCGTGCTACGAGTGTCCTCTGAAGCCGTGTCTCGTGTCCATACCGGAAACGAACTCGGTGTGGTTAGACGTCCACGCGTGCCATCGAAGAAGGGTACGAAGGGGATACCGCCTGTCGTTGGCGGAAGGTACGATCGGATCCGCAACCGCCGACGAGCTCCTCGAGCACAACGCCAAGGAGTTGAACGAGTTGATGCGTCGGAAACGCACCCTCGACGAGAAGCTCCGTTCCGGATTGGAAGCCATCAATAGGTTGACGTCCGACGTGTTCAGCACTTTGACCACTGAGTTACGGGTCGAAGGAAACGTTTTCACGAGGAGAAGGCCGATGCCGCGAAGAGAGATCTGCACCTTTGCATCGAGCAACTGAACGCGATCGTCGATTCGGACGAGCGGGCGTACCGTACGAGGTGCGGTCCGCCGTCCGACGTTCTGGGACGCCTCCCCGCCCTGTTGCCTTTACCGGACGTTCTGCCGAACACGGCTTCGTTGGAATTGTCAATTTACTACGGAACGCACCTGTACCAGGAGGACGTGGGGATCCTGCCGAACTTCGTCCACGGGCAAACGAAAAGACAAAAACGAGCCCCGCAAGGTAATGCGGGTCAGTAACGAACATGCCGCCGACCGAACTCTGGAGAGACGAGACGCCTGCAACTGAAATGGATGCAGGACAGAAGGAAGCAACTTTTTGCCGAATTTGTAAACCATTTCGGCGACACCGATCTGCTTCGTAGGACGTTCTCGGAGAGGATGGAACCGTGTCGACGACCCCTTCGAAGTCGTCGATGCTTCGAGAAATGCAAAGGTGCTTTAATCAGAGACTGTCTGAACGTCTTCCACCTAGTTCAATGCGAGGAGAGGCAATTGCAGCTCTTCGGGAAGGTGTGGGACACGGTCGTGTTCGTCGAATGCGATCTGTCGGATCGATTTCGACCCTAGAGTTATTCCGTCTCCCGATTCGAGAAACAGATAGGGTTCTCGTGTGCAAACTACCATAAATTACCCAAAACCAGACGTACGTACCAACGAACGAACGAATGGATAAATAAATAAAACTTGAACAAAAACATAAACCGGTGTGTGTGACTTTCATTTTTTTAAGTCTGTCTTTCTTTATTGTTTTTCGATTATACTCGAACGATAACTGCGCAGCGTCCCGAGAGAACACCGTTTACGTCGTCTGACGTGACTCTGCCTCGTCTTCGACTTTCCAACGTTTGCAAGATGTCCCGGACCGAATTTTGCGGTCCGTCGAGAGACATCAGACGACCAGCCGTCGATCTTCCTCGGCAATACTTGAACCCCGCCGATCTTCCGCCGGTCCTGTACACACGATACGTTTCGTCCGTGGACGCTCCGATGGGCTTGTTGGGCAGGAAGGCGCCCGTTGAGGCTGTGTACGCAGTGGAAGCTCCGACCTCCGAGGACGACGTCCCGCTCGACATGAGATGGCCGTCGAAGGCGGTGGTTTTCGACGAACAACGGGGGTCCGGTGCAACGTGTCCTTTTCGAACGCAGTGTCCATGGGATGTCACGCGCTAGTCAGGCGCGCGTCCGGAAACAGGCGAACGTCAAGGACATGCGTCTGCGCCAGGGCGTGGCCGACATAGTAAAGATTTCAGAAGTCTTATCGATTCTTTCGCCAAGCTCGTGCTGGACAAGGAACATTGAAAAACTATTTAATGATTAAAGATAAAACAAACGAAACAAACTTTGAATATGTTAGTGCGTGTATGGGTGTATATATATTTAAATCTTTTCGTTGAACCAACAATTCCACATTGATGCCCGACATCACGATGTGCAGCATTATGGAGGATGTAAATGATCGGTTAAGATACACATTTGTCTGATTCGGGAAGTCAAAAGAAAAAGGAAGGAATGCGAATCGTCTAACGGAATCGACGTTCTCAAGTTGAAAGAAGTGAATATCGACATCAGACAGATGGAGTTTCTGTTTGGAGAAATAGTTAGACATTTCCGTTCGTGCGTTAAAGTGATAAACTACTGTACGGACGAATAGACTGGCGCACAGTGGTTGATCGATGCTTTCGAATCGCGAACTACGTCGGAGGCTTCGTCGAAGTCGAAACGAAATGCAGCTTGATCATGGACGAAATTTTAGGAACCGTCTTCGGGAGATGCCTGCAAGGTGTGTTTTCTTCGAGTTGCCGAGATAGTGACGACGCCTTGTTATCATTACGTTTCCTGCAAAAGATGCGCCTACCGACTGGGAAGTTGCCCGGTGTTCCGGACGAAGACGAAAAGACGTCTGCCGATCGGAGATATCGAAGAGGGTACGCGTGTGTACAGATGTTGAACAAAAAATCCTTAAAATATATAATAAACTATCGTTAAAAGAATAATAAAGAATGCATGAACAGAAAATATATTTTGTGTGTTTTCCCTTTTTATTTTCTCGATTATCAGGAGAACCGATCGATCATGAGGAAACAATGGTCCATCTTCACCCAACTGACGACGTCGCACTCGGCGGCGTCCCTCCAAACTTCGTCGTCGCAGTTATCATCTCCTTTCAGCACAGAAACCGTCCACCGTCTGTCGGTGTCCAATCGGAGAGGAAACGATAGGGTCAACGCTTCCTCGAACGACGATCCCGGAGGGCCGCACCCGACGACGGACTGGACCGATGTGTCGCGTTCGTTTTCGATCTCCGATCGCGTCCCTTCGTCCACGTAGACGTATATCTCCTTCGTGGTTCTCGGAGGGATCGCTCCTTTCGGAATATGCAGATCGATCCCGGCGCCGACGATGGACATACGACCGCCTCGTGAGTCGAATATCCCGGCCGAAAAGGTAAAAGTTTCGAAACTCGTCATCGTCGTCATTGTCAACATAACGGTCTGAAATAAACAAACGTACAAAATATTTTTTTTTTTTAACATTGTCACTTTTATTTCATTTCTGTCTTCGTTATAACAACAACATGTACTTTATTTAAATCTGAGTGATTTTCAAATTAATATTTTGATCAAATTTGGCGATAGAGGGCGGGCTTTTTATACGTTTTAACAGGCCACTATTTTGTTTTTACTTGTCAGATTTGCATTTTAACTACTAACCTTGATATTCCAAACAAAGCAATTTCTTTTTTGTAGTATAAGGTTCACAAAAAAAAAAAAAAAAAAAAAAAACCGGGGGGGGGGGGGGGAAAGGGGATGCTCTAAATTTTTTTTAATCTTTGTCAGATTCCTCTTCTGGATACATTTAATCAACAAGGCTGTTGCTCTATTTATGTGGAAATGGCGCCGTGAGCACAGCAATCTGGGATGGATACGTGGGCTTTACAATATTCCATTATTATTATTTTTATTATTATTATTATTATTATTTATTATTATTATTATTATTATTATTATTATTATTATTTATTATTATTTACTTGAACTAGATGTTTTAATGTCTTCCAATTAGTGTATAATATATTAACTATAATACGGTATATTATGTAAGATGTGTCATCATTAGCTTATTGCATATCCATTCAGCCCTTATAATAGACCGATATATATATATATATATTATATATATATATATATATAATGTGGTGTGTGTGTGTGTGTATGCATGTGTATAGATACTTTAACTATAATTATAAAATGACAAACAATGCATTTATCTAGACCTTTGATTCAAATTTATTAACTGTATATGTGCATAGTAACATATATACGGATGAATGTCAAAAAATGAAAGCAAAAATGTTATAACGAAGGTTTACATAAATATATTGGAAACTCTTACACACATAATTTCTAAGAAAACATTCGATCGTGGAATAAAAATAATTTCAGTAAAGTCGACAGTCTATAGTTAAATATACAATAATTTATATATACGGATGAATGTCAAAAAATGAAAGTAAAAATGTTATAAAGAAGGTTTA